TTAATTATCACTAAGCATTGCAGGATAGGAAAATAATCAAATAAGCTTCCCAACTGGAGTTTCTATCTGTAAAAGATGGAGCTTAAAATACTGATGAGAGAGACAGGGAGAACTGGTGATGAGATCAGGACTGGTTGCAATTATTTAGAAGTACCCTGAGTGTTTGCATGAGAACTGTCAGTATATTTGGCTGCTAGCAGATCTTGTGGTGCTTATTCTAATCATTTTTTTCTTGATGTTCATGCCTTTAAAACACCTGTGAGCCAATTTGTCACCCTCTCTTTGTCTCATCCATCTATGCATTACTCCACGGATACGCTTACACAATACTTTAACTTTTCTGACTTCCAATGAAAGAGGGATATTTTTGACATTTCCACCTAGCTATTTTTTAGGAAAGATGCCATCTGACCTTTAATAAAGACCATCTTTTATAAATCCTTCTTGGCTAACCACCATTAGTGTCACCATTTTTGGTCCAATCTCACTTTCAAAAAAATTTTTTTAAGACTCAAAATTGGATCTTTGAAAAATTCAGCTCCCAATTTTAGAAGGTAATCTTAAAAGAATTAGGGAGATGGGTTCTTCACTAGTGCCATTAGTGCTAAACTTGCAAAGAGAAGCCATCTTTAAGTTGAAATTGTCTCCTTGAGTTCATGGCCACTTTGATAAGAACAGTGCAAGGTAATGCAAAGCCATTTTCAATTTAGAAGTCCTAAAGCTCATGCCACAGGAAAAGGCAGCCCTGAATGGCACTGGCATGCTGGCATTCAAGAAAGAAATCAGGGCCCAGGTCTTGACTTAAGTGAACTATTTAATGTGCTGCAGCAATATGAAGGGAGGACAGAAAAGCAAAATGAAGACTTGAAGCTCCTTTGGCGTTCATTCTTTCCTTCCCCGATGTGTGATCATTATCAGAGAGACCATGTACAGTCACGAACCGTCCCTTCTGTTTTAGGTTTAGATTCCTCACCTGGGAAGGGCAACAGCAACACCTAGTTCCTGTCTTAAAGAACCAATGGCACAGTCTGAACTTTTCAATGGTCAGGAAATAGACTGTATTTAGCAGTTGCTCTGGTTACTGTAATAATAATGTAGTGAGTGCAAGAATTTATATATAACCAGCAATTGTTAGTATTCTTATGATATGTAAGGCTTAATAGTGGACACAGAGGTGAAACACACACGATTTCTTCCCTTTAGAGTGATACTGTCTAGTCACAAACTACATTGGGTGTAAATAACAGGAATACATGGTAGAAAATATGAAGATCTACACCAAAAGAGCAGGTAAAAAGGGACCACAGAAGAGGAGGGGATTATTCTCAGCTATGTGATAAAGGAAAGCTTCAGTATTTGAGTCAGGTCTTATTTGATTAAATTTTGTTCATGCAGAGAATGGGATTAGTGTATTAAGGGAATGCTTTTATTCATGACACAATAGATTTACCTGAAGGAGATGAATGGGAAATATATCTAGCAAGGTGTGGAACATTCCTTCCGAAGGAGTATGAGATCACATGACCTTAGAATCATACTTAGAATGTAGGAATTTATCCTATAGACAACACACGAGTGGGCTTTAAATCCTGGCCTTTCATTAGAATCACATAAGAGTTTTAAAATTGCATAATTATCTGCAACATTTGTGAGTTTTAGAGCAAGACTGCAAATTGAAAGGCCCACCACATACTGTATGTCAAAATATTTTAGTTTTAAAGAAAGGTTCACCAAAATCTGGACTCAGGTTGGTACCTCTCAAGAATCTGTATTCTCCCTGAAGGCTGTGCTGCCACCAGGGGTCTTGGTGGTTATCTGGATGTTCTGAGGGCAGGCGGGGCTGGACTCAGGCTGGGGCTGAAGAGGAGGGGCCGTCACTACCCTCATCCAGGATTGGGAACATCTCAGAAGTCAAGGGCTACAAGGCAGGCTTCCCTGCCATTTCAAATGGCAGATTCCAGGAGTTTCTCTGCACTATTTCCAACTACACTCCACCTTCCAACCCATCCACAAAGCAGAAGGGATCATTATTCCATCCCTTGACCCACTTGATTCAGTGGCTACGTCCTTTTCTCATGAACATTTCTGTTGTGTTCAGCCGCCCAGTGTTTGGTACTCTGTTTGGACCTCCACGGGAGACTCATGCATAGCTCTAATGGCATGTGAGAGAGTTGGCCCTGCTGTGAACTGGGTGGATAGTGAGCAAGGCTTTCCTCCTCCAGCTCCTGCTAGAGGAGGGGACCTGGGGACCTGGGATTGTTCTCCACAGCATGAACATCTCTTTACATGACATGGTATCTCCTACCTCATATCCCTGTTTGTCACCTAGCTGCACAAACACAAGGTACTAATTCACTATGAGCTTCAATTATTTGCTATATAAAGACTGCAAACAGGAGGTATTAATTTACTAGAGATTTCAGTTGTCTGTGATATAGTAAGGCAGTTTCCAAAAGTTAAATTAAAAGGATTTTATGTATCCTTTCTTTCTATTCTCAAAATGATCCTATTCTAATTCAGTTTGGGAAGTATTTTGGGTTGTATGTTAAGGATATTCTCTTTAATCTACCATAATGAAAACTGTTCAGAAAGCTACAGAAGATTATATCTCTACAAGTCACATTTTCCAGATAGGAAATGATTGTGGCATTGTATTGCCAGAGGGACAGCTGAAAAAAAAAATGGGTCACACATTCACCGCATTCGGGGACATGCGCTGCCAAGTGGTACCCAGCTAGCTCACTTTTGTCCTTTTCTCATAAACAAGCTGCGTTAACAAGCTACTCTTAAAAAGTGCACTCATTCCCCAGTGGATTACACAGGAAAGAATCCAGCGCTGCCTCCAGAGGATTCCAATAGTTGTTTGCTCTTTGAGCTCAGGTGTGGTAAACTAGCTGAGGGCCACAGCGCACCCTGAAATTGGCCAGTGCACTAGAGCCCTGATTTCTCACCCTGGCACACAACTCATAGCCTGCCTGATGGCAGGGCAAGGAAAAAGAGAAAGAAAACTATGGGGCCTGATTTTCATTGTCAGTTTAACTACACCATCTATAGTGCCTACTGGAAAGGATTTAGGGGTAAGATTAAGGTTCAACAGTGCTCTTAATTTTACAGTTCTGTCCAACAAAGAATATTGTATTGACTGTCCAATCTAAGTGTTTAAAATTTTTTTTTTCAAGAGCTAAATTCCTTCAGTGGCAGAGTAATTTGAAAAAGGGAGTGACTTCATTGTTTTGGGCTCTGTGCCAGAATGCAGACAAATTAGAGGAATAAGATGCCTCCGTGAATTGTATGGCCAGCGAATTTTTGAGAGGGGGGACACATCTCTAATTGGAAGAGGAATGAATAGAAATTCCAGTGTAGGCTTAGAAATACAAGCCGATAGAAAATGATTGCACAATACAACTCTCTTTGCAGAATGACTGTGTGCATAAAATATTAAGATCTACTTCTTTCATGTTAAAGTTCAAGAATTTCACTTTCTTGTTGGGGCTAGAAACAACAATGATTTTATTTGGCATCAAGTCAAAGTTTAAGATTATGAATAAGTATTTGGTGTTCTTTCATCTATATATTTTATTAGTTCAGCTAAATGTAGGAAAAAAGGAAATACAGGGAATGAAAATTTATCCTTAAGAAATATCCTTAATATATTTTTGAGACCACTTACTTTACTTATACAGTAAATAAGGAAAACAAGTCTCTTTATACAGAGACATTCCTATGGCACTTATATAAATAAAAATGGTAGCAGCAAAGTTTACAGCTGAACTTGAGTACATACAAATAACTGAAAATACATAGACAAAGATAAACCCAAAAGGTAAATAAAGTATTTGGAATGGGCACTTATTTTTTCTGTTATGTAACGATGGTTTTCTCAAGCATTAAGCTGACTGCTTTTGCAAGTCAACATTTGTAATGATGTTCAAAAGCCAAAAGGCCTCGATAAACATTAAATTTTGCTTACTGAGTCTGCAGGATAATATATTAATCAAATGAGTTCCCTATGTTGAAAGCTTGATGTATTAGAAGGCATCTGGCACAGACTGGGTAATGCTAGAACTTTGCTTGGGTAGACTGACAGCCGAAAGTGGAACAGGAGCTTCATTTGGAGAGCATTTGGAGACTGCATCTTTGGCTGACATATAGGTAGATTTACCTCTCTTCTCTTTGACAAGAGTGACTGATAACATTTTCCAGAGGAGGGAACAAAAAGCATGGAGATTTGTATCTGTGAGTAAAATCTGAGCATATTCTCCCACAAGTCAATGTCTGCATTCTCTGAGTGCAGGGTCCAGGCAGTATGCGTGAGTCACATGGCCCATGAAAGGAGCCGTTGGGTAGGCACTGCTGGCCTTAGCTGAAGGCCTGCCTGGGTTTGCATGTGAGACTGTGTGACGTAAGCTATTTAAACAATTAAATATAAGGACTCCGTCTCTCCAAAAATACAAATAATACAACAGAAAAAGGATTGGATACGAAAAGTGAAAAAAACAGTGAAGCAGACAGGAAACTGGCAGGTGACTGTGAGTAGTAATGAAAGATCAGGATGGAACGTTTCCTTGGGTGATGTTTTGCTGCTGGGGATTTAACTCTTAGCTGCTTGGGAGGTACTGACTTGCACCTGGGTGAATGAACCCCTGAGAAAGTTACAGAGGAGGGTCATCTATATTTACAGGAAAATAGAACAAAGCATCTGCTGTCATGATGGTATCAACACTAGAGGTCACAACATGATTTGAGGGATGCTTGCATATTAGAATTGGCAGAACCCATTTGTCTACTGTTTCTGATTTGGGGTTGGATGGGGTAGAGGAAAGTGCTAGAGTTGGGGGTAAAGAAAATGCATAATCATCCACAGTTGACTTTTTTATTCTGGAAACAACATACGCATTTATCATATCTAACAACTGGAATAGTGTTTTTTTAAAAAACATTTACAAGTGCCTATGTACATTTAACACAAAATTTTATAACAGACAGAAATGAGGAAATACCTGATTGGTAATATGTTCCTGGATTTTTTCTGCAGTCACTGAAAAAGAAAGCAGAAAAATTTTACATGAAAGCTTGAAAATCAACCCAACAATGAAGTAGTACTGATACTGTTTTGTCCAAATTTATGAATAAGGATTAATATCACACTATAGATAGTTAAAATCACTTCGATTATTAGGGAGGAAAAAGTAAAAAACAATAAATTGTGTTGGGCAAAGATAACAGAAATTGGAGAGGAAATCCAATAAGGGTGATAACAAACAGAATGTATTAAACTTTGGCAGAAAAATGATGAAGACATGAAAAGGACCAAACAAATGTGAACAACAGCCGAACACTGATGACCTGTTGAAGTACTGGACAATCCTGAGCTCATGGAACCGTGGGAACTAGACCATGGAACCTGGGATGGTGCACAGCAGAAGGGCTACTTTAAAAACCTTTCTCCTACCTGAGAAGTGATGTAGACACCACTCTACCTTGTAGTTGTTGTGCTGCAGGAGACTGAAGTACAAACCAAAGGTTCTGCATATGATGTCTTAGAATGGGCAAAATTAAGAGTAACGTACGAAAACCAAACCAGAGGCAAAGAAAAGGATACTAAAACAATTGGTCTTGCTCACTGTGACAATAACCTTGATTATTTTCATAATCTGCAGTGCAGACATCTTAAATAGAAATGAATAATAGAAATAAATAAAATCCTTAGTAATCATAGCTAAATAATCAACAAACAGAAAAGTAAATAGAAACTTTCTGGCACCATAGTTATTCTGTTTGTGAACAACTCAGTGTGTTCCTTCTACTTAATTAAGTATACCCTTTGAAACTTTTTAATTCAGGTCATTATAGTGTCACATGCAGTGGTGAAAAACAATACAGACCATTTATCTGTATCTGCTACCCAGTTTCTGCTAAAAGTAAGGTCTTGAGCATCAAGAATATTGTAGAAATGCAATCATGTATTGCAAACATTTTGGATTTTTTTTTTATTTTTTGCTTACTGTAATTCTCTGGGGGATTCATTCAGGTCACTGTGTATCAGCTGTCAGTGGACTTTTTATCCTGAGAAGAAGTCTATGGTTTGGAGAGCCTATGCTGTATTTAGTGACATTCATGGTTCTCTGTCTGGTTTCTGAGTTTTGGCTATAAAGCTGCTATAAACATTTGCGCATAGGTTATCATGTAAACACAAGTCTTTGCTCTCTGATACACATGCCCAGAGGATAACTGCTGGGTTGTATGAGAGTTGCATGTTTAGCCATTTAAGAATTTGTCAAACTTTTTTTTAAAAAAAGCAATAACTAAGTTAAATGTCAATTAATCAACTAATAAGTATATGCTAACCTTTTTTTGAAATATTTAATAGCAGGTGATGCAGAAGAAGTAAGATAAGGTAGGAGGAGTGAGTTATTTGATTTTGTCATTGTCAAGAAATGCCTGAGGCCAACCTTGGAATTTCCAGATAAGAAAAGCCAATCTTTTTTTAAATTTTCACTTTGAAAGAACGCTGCTCAATCACTTATTCTTGATATGTTTTAATATTCAGATTTCTTTTGTCAGATTAAAAGCACAGTGTTTAAAGAAGAGGCAACATGGTTTGAGGGACAATCTTTTGAATTAGATTATCCATATTCAAATATCGAGTCCCCAGAGAAGGGATATTTGGATGGTAGCTGAAAGAGGATAAAGGAGGCTAACTTTACTGAAAAGAGGAAGGTAGACAGGCTGGCAGAAGGACGTGCTTGTGCAAAGGCTGTGTACAAGGAGAGAGAATGGGGGTGGGTTCCGAGACACAGGAAGGGGTGAAGTAAAGGGCTGGCGAGGTGAGGGGAGGCAGGAATGGCAGACAGGATTCAGACAGCAAGACGGCCCATGTAGACCACTTGGGGAAGGTAAAGGGTCATTGCCAGAGCAACAGCAAGTCAACCCTTGAGGGAGGTTAGCGCAGGGTGTGAGTAGGGACCTTAAGATATCATGCATAGATTTGCATTTAAAAAACAAAAAACCTGTCTCACTCTGTTTGCCACTTGGAGTGGAGATTTAGAGACTGGAGCGGGTATTAGGGTGGCAGCAGTACCTCAAACTCTTCAGTTTTCTTTTGTTAGGGGATAAGGGAGATCTGGAGGAATGTAAGAGAAAAATCATACTCACAACTATCAAATAATTAGACATTAATAATGTAATTACCCACTGTTATGGATAGAACGAAAATGGCCCTACAGACTCATGTGTTTGGGAGATGACTGTGTCATGGGGGCATCACAACTGTCTTGCCCTTACGAGGGGGCATCTCCTCCCCATCTGATCAGAAGGCGTGGGTCACTGTGAGTGTGAGGTGGAGGGGTCTGTGTCCCTCCCTGGCTCCTCCCCCTTCCATCTCTGCTTCCTGAACAACATGATGTGAGCAGTTATTCCTCTGCCATGCCCAGTGCCATGCCATCTTGCCTTGGCACCAACCAACTGTGGACTGAAACCTCTACAAACTGTAAGCCAAAATAAGCCTTCCTTTAATTTGTGGGTATCTAGCATTGTATCTTAGCGACAAGAAAGTAACTGAGACACCCACTGACCTCTAGCAAATGGACCAGATTACAGATGAGCATCGTCTGAAAGCTCTGCCAATCAAGGGTATTCCATGGGAGGTCAGTTACATTACCATCACTTGACTGACCAGCTCCAACCAAATTCATAGCATCTGCCCAGATTTGTGAGGTTCAAAATGAAACAAGAATGAAATTTCCTGGCAAACATGCTAGAGGGTCATTCCAGGTAGTTGGGGGACAGAATGAGAATTATGTCAGAGACAGGAAACAGGGTGGGTGGCTGGACTGGGAGGTGTCCCATGTGGCTTATACAATGCCCCCATTATCTGTGGTATCACTTTTTCACACTTTTAGTTACCCATGATCAACCATGGTCTACATGAAATGGAAAATTACAGGAAGAAACAACTTCTTCTTTCCTTGCAGATTGCTGTTATAATTGCTTTATTTTATTATTATTATTGTTGATCTCCTAGTTATATGCCTAGTTATAAATGAAGCTTTATCATAAGCATGTATTTATAAGAAAAGCAGAGTACAGATAGGACTTGGTACTATCAGCAGCTTCAGTCGCTGGCAGAACATCTTGAACATATGTCCTGTGGCTGGGGGCCCAGTGTAGAGTTAAACATAAGCTACAGCAGGTGGGAAGCAAATGCTGTGGGGAGAGGGAAACAGCCCAGGCTCAGAGATTGTTGACTTGGGATAAAACTGGGGGTCTTGTAGACAGTAGGGGGGTCAACCAAGGTCTTTCAGAGAGGGATGTAGCTACCAAAGCTGTTGTAGAGAGAGAGGAGCTGGCCAGTGGTACAGAGGGTGGGCTGAAGGGGCCAGGGGGACAAGGGATGGAGAAAACAGTGAATGCAAGCAGTACCCAGGAGGGAAGAGCAAAGGTCTGCACTCAGGCACCTGGAGCAGGATGGAGGGAGGCTGGGAAAGCTGGTGTCCTGAGAGTGACTGGAACTGAGAAGTACAGGAGCAGGGAGCACACCCCCCGAAAGGTTTAGCTAAAGGAAAAAGTAGATGATGACTCTTTTACAGATACAGTGAGAGAAAGGACACAGTTCAAGAAGTTACCACATGAGGTCAGGGTCCACAATTAAACTGAAGACATCTGTAGGTTATGGAAGCAGACACAGGAATGACGGGATTGGATAGCGACTCCCAGCTGTCCAGATTCTAATGGTTGGAACCTGGCACTGTGATTTCTTATACAACATGGCAACTTTGTAGATGTGACTAAGCTAAGAATTTGGAGACAGGATGATTATCTGGATGTGTGCAATGTAAGATCTTTCCTTACCATAGAGGGCAGGAGAGTCAGAAGCAGAGGGAAGGTCCTGAGAAAAGGGGACAGTGGTGCTAGAAGGGCAGCTCCTAGGAAACCTGGAAACTGGGAGAAAATATGTTCCCCTAGAGCCTTCAGTGAAAATGTAGCTAGCAGATACCTTAATTTTAAGACTTGCCTGTACTTTAGAACCTAAGATTTAAAATATTGTGTTGTTTTAAGTCACTAAATTAGTGCTATAGTCAGCTCACTGTATTTGCAGGTTCTGAATCTACATATTCAACCATTAATGTTTAGAAAATCTATTATCTATCTATCTATCTATCTATCTATCTATCTATCTCTATCACTGTCTGTCTGTCTATCAATCATCTGGTCTGGGTCTCATTATTCCCTCAAACCTGCAATGCTCCAGCCTCAGCTTCCCAGAGTGCTGAGATAACAGGTACATGGAGAGAAAATAGTTTTAAAAATTTCATCTGTAGTCAATATGTAAAGACTTTTTTCTTCTGCCATTATTTCCTGAACAATACAATATGGCAACTTACAGATAGCAGCAACACTATATCAGGGATGTTAGGTAATCTAGAGGAGGTTAAAAGTCCACAGGAGAATGAGGTAAGGTTATCAACAATTACTACACCATTTTAGATGAGGGATTAAGAATCCAAGGATTTTGGTATTTGAGAAGTTTCCTGGAACAAATCCCTTTGAGAATTGAGGGATAATTGTAATTTCTTACAGCAGCAATAGGAAACTAATTCAAATAAATTCTCATGCTCCATCTTGGCCATGCCTCAGGGCCGGGGAGGAGAGTACATGGCTACTGAGTAAATGTATGGGGTACTGAGCAAGGAATTTGGCATCCATTACACCCTCGGGACAATCTTGTGAAGTAGAGACTATTATCCCTGCCTTTTAGACTAGATGACCTGGGCTCAAACAATTTATAAGCAGTGTCCAAATTCCATGGTCAGTGAAAGATCCCTCAGCACTGTAATACAGAATGTTGCTACTTTGAATACAGAAAAAGCTGAGTGCTAGGACAAAATTAATCTTGTCTGTCTCCCATTTAGGTCTTCTCCTTTCAGCTTTGGGTTAGATGAAGACTAGAAGAAAACAAAATAAAAAACACCTGGTAGAGGCAGGAAATTTGGACTAAGTGTAGAATATAGAAACAGCTACACCAGGATGCTTGCATTG